GCCCGTTTACATACATGTACTTGTTGTCAGTGTCTGAGTGGTATATACAAAATACGACCAAGTAAACGTCAGAATATTTAACAAGCAGCCTGTCGGCTGAGATAGCTCCGCTGTTAGCAATGCACATTTCAATTAAAGAACTGAAGATATCATTAGAAAATGAACAAGAAGTTGAAAATATCACTTTTTACCAAAAATGACAAAAATATTCACCAAAATTAGAGAATTAAAGATATCATTACAAAATGAACAAATCTGAGACAGGTCCACTTGTAGTACCTATGTATGTAATATCAAAGCAATTGGACTTGCGGTTTTTAACAAGAAGTTGAAAATATCACTTTTTACCAAAAACGACAAAAATATTTACCAAAATTAGAGAATTGAAGATATCATTACAAAATGAACAAATCTGAGAGAGGTCCACATGTAGTACCTATATATGTAATATCAAAGCAATTGAACTTGCGGTTTTTAACAAGAAGTCGAAAATATCACTTTTTACTAAAAATGACAAAAATATTCACCAAAATTAGAGAATTAAAGATATCATTACAAAATGAACAAATCTGAGAGAGGTCTACCCAAGGTACATATACACCAAGTATCAAAGCATTCAGGCTTGTAGTTTTCAAGAAGTCAAAAAAGTAAAACATTGACACGGACGACGGACGACGCCGGACGACGCCGGACAATCACTCATATGATAAGCTCCGCTCGACAAAGTCGACAGCGGAGCTAAAAAGCAGAAACCTAAAAATCAGTTGCCCATGCCAAGAGAGCCGCAGAACCAAAACAATCTGTCAGCCGTCGCCATCCACAGCAGCGATATGATTTTACCCATCGAAATTGAGAATCGCAGGTGTAGACATATAGCATTGAATGAACACTAAATACATCTATCCCGGCCAGCAATCGAATCAAATTGAGTGACGTAACTGGCATTCCCATCTATTTGCTTCTATTCCCACTATCCTAAAATGCTCAAGTGAATGTTGTCAAATTCGCGAGTGTGCGTATTTTCGTACAGTGGCGTAAACATTGCTACAATCAAAGACGTGCTGAACAGAAAGTCAATTCTGGGCTAGTACCATTGTCAAATTCTGGGGAGTAGAGGACTATTTTTATGGGAAACGTTACAATAAGGAACTAATAAAATTGTACGATTTGCATATCAAAATCCTTTATTGGAACAGAGCATGTTCTATATTCACCAAAAAACAAAGTTGTTATGTTTCTAGACACACAACAGACTCGACACAATAGAAACCGTCCGATCCGAGCGACTTGCGTTCTTG